CTATATAAGTGTAAGCAATTATTATTAATTATTATTATAATCTTTTCACACCTGCATAGCTCTTCCCACTTCTGCCTTGCCTGAGTGTCAGGATGAAGAATGTGGGATCCTGTACCCTCTAGTGGTGACTAGCGCAACCTGCAGCCCATGTTTCTCCATACACCTGCCGTTATTTTACAGCGCTCTGAAAACACATTACTCTGTTTTTTCAACGGTAAACCAAAGTGAACGTGTATAAGGGTAACTAAAAGAAGAAATAAACGCCAGAGGCGATGGCTGATGATAGAATCTCCACCCACGACGCTCCTTTCCCTTGGCCACAGGCGAAAATCGATGCTTATGTGAGGCAGATCGAGGAATGCAATGAGAAAATGAAAGCGATGGAGGCTAAGATCACGGAGAGGGATCAGAGGATCAGCGAGCTGGAGAGACTCATTGACTGTATGGAACAGGTAAATATGAGCACCAGCAGGACTGATACTTGATCCTCAGGGCTTGTTCAGGGCATGAAGTATGACCTTTAATTACTATGTATGCATGACTGTATTCAGCTGCACTAGCAATTTAAACCCTGTTTAATCTGTTTTAAATCTCAAAGCACTCATAAAGTATTTCACATGAAGCTGTGAAGCTGTTGTGAAGCTGCATACATAGTTTCCTGTGCCTTGCAGAATATACAAATGTTTCCTTTCTTTATTTCTATTCATGCATAGGTAAAAGCTCATTTCCTACAGTTTTGCATTCATATTATTATTTCAAGGAGATAAAACATCCAAGACAGATAGCCTGTAAATTATCCAGAAATAAAATACACATTTCAGGGAATTCTATAACTATAGCTGCTTGGCTAAATCACTGCAAGTTGAGGAGCCTCGTTTGAAAAGTTTTTGAGCCTGTGCGTGACAAACGGGACATTAAAAGCTTTAGCTGATCTAAGATGCGGGGAAATGCCCGTGTGCGGGTTTGTGCGGGTTTCTGCGAGGCTCCGCAGCAGAGGGCGTCCCCGCGCTGTCAGCAGGCCGAGAGTGACACGTGTCTGCCTGCAGGAAAGAGCCCAGCTGCTCGGGAAGCTGCAGGAGTGCGAGGCACGGCTGCACCGGCTGAGACAGGCTGACCAGTTCGACTCGGACGCGGCCAGGAGGTAAAGGACTCTTCCATTTTGCAGCCAGCAGCCGTCTTTAAAGATGTGAAAGTTAGTCGAACACATTTACAAGGCGGCGGTTGTTATCGCAAGCTAAAGGGACCTGAGAATTATTGTAACGAATACGTCCCTGCGCATAACCCTTAGCGATATAACTAAGGGATGTGGGCCGCCTGGGCTGAGGAAGGTCTTCGTTAGCTCAGCCGGCCAGACCCCCGTTGAGCGACGCCGGAGTCCCGGGGTCGAGCCCATTCGTTGGAGGGACGAACTGGGGCGGGAGCGGCGAGGGCACAAGTCCGAGAACCCGAATCCGTTACATTATATTGTATAGAACAAGTGGTCTAAAATGTATTTATAAAACAATATTATTACAATGAGTGAGAGTTTCTTACTTATTAATATGTTAAGAAAATTATAGTAAAACACTAAATATTGAAATAAAGCGATATAACTATTACTTAGAGTCGTTCTCGTTAGAACATAGGAACGTTTACAAATGAGACGAGCCCTTTTTGGTAGTGAGTAGTTAATTGATCTGAATATCTCACCTGGCCGCTTCTTGAAAGAAACATGGGTATTGCCTTAACAACATAGCAGCTTGTTTTCTACTCCCACAACCCTTTGAGTAAAGACGTGCCCTCTGTTCTTGGTTTAAAACGCATTTCCACATAGTTTCCACTGGTGCCCTCTGGTTTGGGTTTCACTGTGCATCCTGAAGACAGTGCAGTGCCGGACTGACGTTGTCAGTGCCCTTGAGGATTGCGAATATTTGGATCTGCTCTGCTCATGCTCTTCTCCGTTTAATACTAGCAGTCCCTTCATCCTTCAAAATATCCTCCTCCCAGTGCCACGCAGTTTGCTGAGGAGAGCGACAAACCGCATGCACTTGTCCCAGACTGTAACATTGTGTGATCAGGGCAGTGTCGGGAAAGAAATGTAAAGAACAGGGCTTGAAACACGTTTCTCAGTATCCAGGACTCTGGGTGCACCTCCCCTCCATGGATCTCAAACGCCAGTGGATGCAAAGCACATCCACGCCATTTGCAGGAAGCTCTCGGTGCACTATTGCTTTTTGTTTTCTTGCACATTCTGGAGGTCTTCCTGTATGAGTCGTTCGAACAGCTCACTGACAGGCACCTCTTTCAGGGCTCTTCAGCTCGAGCAAGAGAGATCGGGCCTGAAAGAACGGATCAAGCATCTGAACGACATGGTTTTCTGCCAGCAGAGGAAAGTGAAGACCATGATTGAGGAGGTAAGGATCTGGAAGTCATGTCCTTCTCGTTTACTGTTACCTCACCAGCTGACACTGGTGTAGAAAATAACCTCAATAAGAAAAGTATAAGGTAAATCATTCCCTGATTACAGTGTGATGTAACATTTCAAAAACTATGTCCATAGTGCATTTCTTCCAGCTTTTCAGTTTCTTTGGATAAATATGCAAAAGCATACATTGTTTTAATAACAAGGATCTTATTTCTCGCTCCTGGTTATAGGCTGAAACATTGCGGTCCAGGGTTGTGCAAAAGGACATGTACATCACAGAGCTGCTGGACAGAATTGCTATTGTGGAATGTGAGGTAGGTTGGTCAGCACTGACTTTCTGTGTGAAGAAGACCAAAGGAATGGAACTAACCCATTGCCAGTTTACTGTGAAGTTTAATGTATCAAATAAATGGAGCCATTATAAAAATAATATATACTTAATATACACTAGCAGAAACAAATATCATTATATCCATAGTATATACATATATAAATATTTGGAATATGTGTGTCTGTTCATCCCTCTGTTATTTTTCCAGATCTATTTCCCTTTTCAAGAAAGAGAAGGACAGATAGTTGTGTCATTGATGTTACCTGAACTTTCAAGCTTTTTTGTCTGTCACCTGTATGTACTGCGTGTATATACTGTATACAGAATATACACGTATAGTGAAGGACACTAAAGATTAATTATTGAATATTTACTCTGACCTTGTTTTGCTTACTAGAATAATGAGCTCCAAGACAAGATGAATTATTTACACCCTGACCAGAATGGAACAGAGAAACAAGTGCAAACAAGAGAAATTGGAGTGGGCTGTGATCTGCTTTCAAGGTAAATAACATTAGATACTGAATTTTCAGTAAGTACAGAAACTGTGAAGTAGACACTTGTTGTGCTCATTCTAAAAAGTGTAAAGTGTCAATTTAATCAAAATGGTCTACCTTGCACTGCTTTGAAGTGATTCCAGTCTTGAATTAAGTCCAGCCTGCATGCTGTGGTCTGAATTCCAGGGTTAGAAGAATTCTGAGAAAGAAAGTACAGCACCATTTAGAATATACTGTATTGTGTACACTTTTGGGCACCACATTACAAACAGATATTGTTGTTTTTGAATCAGTCCTGGGAAGACTAGCAAGATTAAGGTCTTAATTAAATGTCCTGAACTGACAGACTGAAAGAACTGAACATTTTTAGTCTTCAGTACAGACGTCTATGAGGAGAAGTGACACTAGTATTCAAAATCCATCGACAAAGTCAACCCGGTGACCATTTTCAGAATAAATAGTGAAACACAATTGGGAACTGCATGAAAGTTAGTTGAGCGTGGACTGAGCACAGCAGTGCAGAGATCACCAGTTGTTAGTGCAGACTGCAGCTGAAAGCAAACAGGTGCACACCAATTGCTCTGACGTTTCCTGACAAATCACTTTTGTTTTCTTTTCAGACCAGACAGGCCAGCCCAGGTGGAGGTACTGTCCAGTTCTGTCTCATCCAGTCCAACGCAGTCTGGTCCAGTGGACTCCAGTCCACGGCAGTCCAGTCCCAGGACGAGATGCCCATCGAGAGTTTACACACCATACATGAAGCTTATGGAAATAAGTGCTAGTCTACCAGTACAGTGACTGTAGGCATCTGTGTTCAAAGTATTGGTTTTTAATGCAGTTCATAACAGTTATGTTGAAATACACATCCCGGGTCCTCAGAGGAACTGCAGTATTAATTGTCTGCCTCACGGGGATTAGAATTTCAACCTTAACATTTTCTTAATGTCAAAAGGAACCAAGCAGCCAAGTATATTCAGAGCACAGCAGGAAACAGCCATGTTTTTGCAGGACCTGTGGATGTTATTTAAAGGATACAGTTTATACCACAGACTTGAGGAACTCTTTATGTTTTCCACTGCTCAGACAGAGAGCGCGCATAATGTTTATTGGTCTCTGCAAACGGTCTGGCGACTCAGAGCTGAACTGCAGTGTCTTATTGTACATCTTAGACACTCGTAAGATCCACTAGGACCTACAAAAGCAGCTTCTTGGTGTTCATAACAGTCTGGGAGTGTGAAGAGCTCACTGCTAATGAGGTTTTTAACTTCGAACATAGGTGCTGAGAAGGTCACCTGTCAAAATACATCAAGGAAAGAAATGTATGGATTTACATGTTGTAAATAATTTATTTAGAAGAAAATTCCTATTTTTTTGTTTAAAAAAAACTGGAGGCCAGTGTCCATTTTTCCTCAAAATTATAATGTGTTCTAATTCATACAAACATGAAGTCAAACAAGATGAAAAGATTAATTTACCTTTCAAACAGAAAAAAACAAGTTTAAAATTATTAGAAGTATACTCCAAATAGTTATATTTTTATATTATGGAATTAACATATTAACGATTGCGATTAACAGTTTTGTAATTATTTTAATTCCAATTCCATTTACAAAATTCCTTTTGTAATTAATATTGGAATTAATAGCTTTCATTTAATATTTTAAAGGTGCTCAGGAATATTCATAATAATTTTAATGAAGTATTTTATTATTTACTAGAAATGTATATTTTACTATGTTTGGGGTCTTATTTTGTTAAGTTAAATCTTGTACAATATCTTGTAAAAAAAGCACAAACGTTTTATACGTATTTTGCTATGTAAGGGTCAAAAGCTTTGAAACATTCAAGACAAAGTAATCTCTGTGTCCAGCGTACATTGAATTGTTCTATACTGCCAGCAATAGCAAACCATTATTTTTGAGGCCTGTATAAGAAATATATTTTACTACTGTGTTTTCCTTATTGAGCATGATACATACAAATAATATATTGTGCCTATATCTCCAGAGAACTATAGTACTGTATGTATTGGCTGGTACATCTCCTCTTTGTTTATTTTACAAAATAAACTGTGATCAACAGATTTTGTGATTACATTTCAAGAAAAATATACTGTTATTTTCAAGGTAACGTACATTCATATATTCATGGACCTTGGATCTCTGCACCGAAAAACAATGTGTAAAAGCCTATATATTATGAAAGTTTTTACTGGTATTTCGCACAAGAATATACATAGAGATTGATTTTCGATAAGCGGTATTGTAAAAAGGCAATTCTGAATCCTAGTCCAGGATTGAATCGCTGTCTGGCGCGTTTTGTTCAATCTGATCTCTAAATGACGAGTGCTAATTGCAGTCTTTAATCAATCTATTTCATTGGAAGTTTGAGACAACTACCGCATGTAGAACTTTAACTTAAGCAAGCGCCCTTCAAAAATGCATCTTTCTATTTTCTAACGCTTTATCTAATACTGAGTAGCGGGCGCTGCTCAGATCGCCGATCCTTATTTCATATTAAACCTCTCTTCTTAAGTGACCAGTGTATGAAAGCAATCGATGTATAGTGAGCAGGTAGTGAGAATGACGGTGTATCAGACACTCCTTCAGTGTTTTTTTTTTCCTTCTGCGGAGGTCTAGTTGATTGCATTTCCAGAGACCCCGCACAAAGGAATTAGACCGGCTCTGTGATTAACAAATTGGTTCAGGGGTGGGGCCGATTACAAATCCTCTCGTTATATGAGATGAAAGCAAAGTTTACTATTTAATTTTTAAAAAATATACTCCAAATAGAAAATTGGGGGGGGGGATCAACGTTTCTGCGATTCAGAAGTCAATCGGAGAAAACAAACGGGAGATACAGCGATTCCTCAGGAACAGGGAAGACAAGCGTCGCTCTACTATTGATTGACAACTATTGATTATACGCTGAACGGAATCGAAAATGCTAAGTGTATGTAATAATAACCAGAATATCGAGAAATGGCTACTTGGAAGAGATGTGGTCTTAACTTTTCAGAATCCTGTGCTTTTTGTTTGAAATAAAAAATACAAAAGTGAGAACAAAATTTAAAACTGTTACTGCGTGTCTGACAAGATTATAACTAAGATGCCCAAAACACCTGTTCAACTTTACCGTGATGATAATGTTTGTTTTACGGGGTTTTACTGACCCCCAGCGGAACTAAAGCGACATTGTTAAGTACGGATGTAATGCTGGTAAACTACAATTTTCTCCAGGCTTGACTGCCACATCTTCTGATATATGCCAACATATTTATGCCCAAGAAAACACTTCTAATTTGTGCTCCAAAATTAATCAAGTCTTCAGTTCATGTGACTGCCATAAATAATGCTATTATTGTCTTTTATTTGAAATCTAATTTTCTAAAAGAACGCTTAATAAGAACACTTAGGTGACCACATGATAGGAGAAGTTTAGAACTATAAATAAGAAAATGTGACAAAATAACTTTTTACATTTTTTATAGAATATTTTACACATGACAAAATAAGTACTTTTTTTAAACAAGTTGAAGAGAGAAGTGCCAACCAAAACATATATTAAGAAAATGTTAATCATCATCAGAAATTCTGAATTTTTCTGTTCATTGGGACAGTACCTATTTCACCTGTGTTAAATACGCTCGGCGTAGTTCATCAGTTTTCGTCCGGAAACACGAAACTTTCCGGCGACTCCCGAAGCCCGGAAACCATGTTGGATTTTGAATGCGGTTGTGTCTCCTAAACCAAGATCGCCATGTTGACAACCAGAGGCGGTATGCGTGCACACAGGATGATTTGTATTATTTAGTTTTTATTGCTTTTAGTATTAGTTTGTATTTTTCTTACTTATTTATGAAGGACAATGTCCTCATCGTGGACAGAACGACAGGGGAAAGTGGGTGATCTTAACAGTAAAAGTAAAGAAGAGCTTTATGACATATTAACTCGGCAGGAGAAACTGCTAGCCAACACGTAAGTCAAACGAAGGGTCGAGATTTCTTGAATGTACAGTCCAAACTGATGATGTCTACACGTGCAAAATAACAACAATGACAGGATTTGTTTGGTTTGTATAGTCACAATAATATTTTTTAGTGTATACATTTTTGTATACTGCTGTCAGTGCTAGCTTCCTTAGTACACCTTGCTACCTTTATACTATTCAACAGAAAATACCGATGTAGTCGCTAGTGTTGTTAAGTGGTTATAGTAGAATCTTCGTCTAGTAAAAATAGTTTAATCTCGTCGCTTTATACTGCAGATAGACGTTTTTTTTGTAAGAAATGAAAATAATTCTTACGGTCACAGAGCCATAACGTTATGGCATCATGACAGTTTGAGTGAGATATTTACGACACCTAAATGTCGTGTCTAACTCCAAAAAGTTCAGCAGCACAGTATCTGTATCCGCATGCTACATGTGGTTTATTGTGCTCGGGATTACTTAATTATATTCAGATTATCATAGTCGTGTGATTTACGCAGTTGTTTTTGTTCAGGTCATCTTCAGATACTGGCGTTTGATTCAACTTTAGACAAGCTTTTAGAACAAATCTAAATACGTGCTCCAGGAAGAACATAAAGCACCCCTTGCGTTCTGCAGTAATTCAGTGGTGTATGTTGGGGTTTAAGCAAGAGTATTTGTTATTTAATCACAATTCACAACCTGCAGGTAATTTATTGTTAATTGCCCTCTCCTTAAATATGTATATGGCTTTATTACAGATGTGGAAAAGAAATCAGGAATATTTGAGCAGATTTAAAAAAGAAGGCGGAGAAGTGTAATGAACATTTGCTTTATTATATGTGAGGTTCAAAGAGTATTATTGTTATTATTATTATTATTATTATTAAAAATAATAATAATAATTGCTTGCACTTATGTAGCACTTTTCTGGTCACTCCACTCAAGGTGCTTTACAAGTGATGGGGGCACCACCAATGAGCAGCCCCACCTGGATAATGCAACGGCAGCCATAGTGCACCAGTACTCTCACCACACACCAGCTATCAGCGGGGAGGAGAACGAGAAAAGAGTGATGAAGGGGATTATTAGGAGGCCATGATCGGTAAAGGCCAGTGGGAAGTTTGGCGAGGACACCTCGGTAACACCCCTACTCTTTTCGAGAAACACCCTGGGATTTTAAATGACGAAAGAGAGTCAACATCGGTTTTACATGTCATCCGTCACTATACTGTAGCATTAGGACCCATACAGACCACAGGGTGAGTGCCCCAGACTGGCCCCACTATTGACTCTTCAGCAGAAACCTCAGTTTTTTTCCAGGAGGTCTCCCAAACAGGTATTGACCAGGCTCACACCTGCTGAGCTTCAGTGGGCTGCCAGTTGTGAGTTACAGGCTGATAAAACTGCTGGCTATGAGTAAGACATTATCTGTCCTAATTACTTTTGGATGTTGTTTTTCAGGAGATTCGTCCAATCCCTTCCTGATAAAGGGAAGAAAATATTGGATTTTGTGCAAAAGATCCACGTAGCCATTGCTGACCATGAAGAAACACAAAAGAGAACGCAGATGCTGCTGTCAGTTAAGACAGAGCTGCAGTCTAAATACCAGCAGACCCTTAAGGAGCAGCGAATAGGAACATTTCAGATGGAGGATTTAGAAATGAGCCATGAAAATGGAACTGTAGAAACGGACATTACTGCCAGAAAACGTGATAAAACCACACTAAAAGTCGAAAGCGAACTGAGTCGTACAGTTGCTGATGGGGCTGAAAACTCTGTGACACAAGCTGATAATTCAGCAGGAATAAAGAAAGCATCAACAACTGCAGCGTCTCTGGGCGAAACAGGCCTCCGGGCGAGCTCTGAGACGAGGAAGGAGCAAGGTCTCATTGAAGCCTTTGGACGGGTCACGCTGACCGATGACACTTCTCCTGGCAGTAACGACAGGCTGAGTGGTGGGGATGGTTCCACTGGGAGGGAGCCTCCCCAGAAAAAGCCTCATTATATTGAGGTCCTGGAGAAGACTGAGAAGAGTCCCCCTGTAAGAAAAGCAAAATTCAAACCAAATCAGTAAGTACCGTTTACCCTTTTCTCTGTTTTGTAGAGTTCTTATGATAAGATCATACCGGGTTAAAGTTGATTAACAAAAGCACCAGACATTCTTAAGTTGATATCATCATCATCATCACTTTCAGTAACCACACAGTAGCCTGAATCCTAGTCATGGAAGCACTGGGCACACGGTGGGACTACAGCCCTGATGCGATGTCAGCCTACTGCAGGGTTTACAAAGACAAAAACGCACACATTCACACCAAGCCCAGTTTTTCAAGAAGCCGGTTAACCTACCAGCACGTCTTTGGACTGTGAGACGAAACCAGAACTCCTGGAGGCAACCCACATGAGCATGGGGATAACGTGCAAACTCCACACAGACAATATGATATCTGTCTATTGATAGAATTGAACCCGGGACCTCGGTGCTGCAAGACCACTGCAACGCATTGCCACCCCTTAACCCAAAAACTGTATTTTTCTCAATCTGTTCACAGTCTAAATGCTTAAATTTTATAAAAGGACAGCTTTTTTGCTAGCCCTCTCTGTCTTAGCTAATTCTCTCTGTTTGTGTATGGCATAGCTTATATGTTTAGGAGCTGACAGTGAACACTCGTTTGCCAGGTGGCTGTTTTTAATTCTGATCCTTGCATATTTCTGAATGTTTCACATTGTTACACATCCACACTTTCAACGTAAAAGGTATTGTGTGTCTAGATTCTACTGATAAGCATGTGTCCTCGTTTACGGCAGGTTACCACAGAAGTCTTGTGGCTCTTCGGCTGGGTCCTCCTCTCCCAGCCTGTCGTCGGGGGCTGTGTCTCCCCTCCCTCTTGCAGAGAGGAAGCTCAGAGACAGGAAGCACCTGGATGACATCACAGCGGCCAAACTACCCCCTCTTCATCACACCCCGACGCAGCTCCTGTGTCTGGAGGAGTCTGCTGCCCTTCAGCAGGAGCAGAAGAAGAAGTATGAGGTATAGACAGCACACCCATTAGCTGATCCGGGTTTAAGTGTGTGGTTAGGAATTAGAATCACAATGCAATTGCACTTTTTTAATACAGGAATACCTTGGCTTACAGGTGAGGGTATATTCCAAGAAAAGTACGCACTGTGAGAATCACAAGTAACAGGGGATCTTAAACAGTGGCTTCAATTGGGATTTCTTACATGAGCGATGTATGACGACTTTATTGGGGGTATTTGCAGTGGCATGACTGATATTATTGTTACAACTTAAGATCCATTTAAAAGCATAAATATATTTCTTTTTAAACTGTAGTTACCTCAAACTGGGCTAATCACCTACTCTTATACATAGCCTGTCATTTTGTTTCTTCTTTGATTTAGAAAGATTTGTTAAGCATAATGTGATCCAGGAAGTTGTAAGTTGGGGAGTTACAGCAATTTGACATTTACAAGCTAAAAAAAAATCACATTTCATGTTGCACACAACCAAAAGAAGAACTGTATCCTTATAGAAGGCAAACTGTCCAAGTCTGTGCTCATTTTGCGCTGTTTGATGTGCTTGATCTTATGAGTTCCATGACATCTCCTGGAAACAGGCTAATCTTGCTTTTGTCTTGTGGACTGTGTATTTTAGGGATTGCAAGCCAAGCTTGCTGCACAGAAACTGTCTGAGAAGTTGAATGTCAAAATGGTGAGCTACAGCCCTGAAGGTGGAGAGCTGACAAAGTACAGAGAGTTCCACGATGATGGAGCCACTCACTCTTCAGAGGACGATTAGATCAGAAGAATGCGCCGCTGGTCTTTTGACTGCCACTGTTTTCTCAGCCTTGTCGGCAACTTGAGATGTTTAGTTAATGCTTTTTGGCATTTAATGGAGTGGACATGTGAAAGGTGATCCATAAAGTACCTAAGTGGGCTTAGAAAAGTGCACAGTGTTGCACTCTGAAATACCTTAACGTTTTATATGATCTTGGGTCCTAGTGCAGTGAAAAGGAGGAGCAACAGGCTGTCCCCCTTTAAAGCTGCAAGGTCTGCTGGTCTTCTGCGTCAGCTGTGTTTATGTAATTTGTTAAAATTCCTGTTCTTGCTGTGTCTTCGGGCTCTACAGGCACTGAAGCCAGCAAAGCTCTCTCTCTATAGGAGCCTTGCTGACAACATCCAGCTAATAACACGCGAAAATGTTGTGTTATAGCTGTGTGTAGGGATCCCAGAGCTGTCTGATTCCTTGTGGAACTTTTTCAGTGACCTGATAGTACGTCATAGTGTTTCTTTTCTCTTGGATGTCGCCACATATTGTGATTGCTGTGATATCTGCAGTCCAGGGGGTGATTGGTTTTTATCCCTCTACCTCAGAATGTTTGTGTGTGTTTTATCCTGCAGTATCCTGATCCATGAAATCTTTCTGAGGTTGTCTTTGCCCCTTATCAAAACATGGCTTCTTGCTCATTCCCAAATTATGGATTATTTGGGCTGTCCTTTTCAAATGATGGTAAAAGATATGTGAAATGTTTGTCATGTGTAGAATAACTAAATCTGAAAATGCTGCAATTTCAAAGAGAACTGTATCTACTGGATGATAATTCATAAGTAAAGTATTTTTTTACAAAGCCTTTTGTATTGCCTTTTCAGAGGGATAATTTAAAATAAAGTCCTACTGGTACTTTTGCTATTTTACATTTTTTATGTGTTGTGGCAATATAGTGTCACATCACTGCTGGAGGAGTACTTAAAGCTTACACATTATTTTATTTTGCATTATTTTGTTTAGTCTTTATATTTTATTTCACTTTCATTGGTGTAAAAACGGCAACCAATTTATTATTACAGAGTTTTCAGAAAAATAATTATATGTACCTTACATTAATAGATTGTTTCTCATTTTGTTAAGATAAATATTTGCTTTCTTGTTGTGTTTTCACATTTCAATTCTTATATGGGTGATGTATCCGTTAGGGCTGCAGCTTTTCAGTTTTGTTTCTGGGTGCGAGTTGATTCTGCACTCAGTTTAATTGCAAACACCAGTCCTTCTGTTTGGAGTTTGCATGTTCTCACTAGCTATATGTGTTGTTTCTGAGTTTTGCCCCCTACATTACAAAGACTTGCTGGCTAGGTTAATTGTTGTCTTTAAATTGTCTATGTGTGTATCCTGCGGTAGGCCGGTGTCTCACCTATGGTATAGTCTATGCTTGAAACCTGAGTTGGTCAGGTTAGGCTCTGACTCACTGCTTCTCTCTGTAGGATAAATGAGATATGAATAAAGTATGGGTGGAAATCTATACATGTATAAAAGATTGTAAAGGTCCCTGAAATATATGTCAACTTTTCCACTTTTGTGTAAGTCTATGAAATAATGGAACCTATAGTATTTACTCAGTTGAAGAATACATTTAACATTAAATTCATATTTATTAAGCTTATAAATTTTAGCATAAGAATGAACAAATGGTTATTGTGAGACATGGCTCTGTTTAATGTGTCTCAATGTGTTTTTTATGTTTTGATGAGTTGAACCATAATTTAAATGAGGAAATCATTTTTTTAACAATTTGTTATAACCAATAACTTGGGAAGATGAGGTATAGATAGTTGATGAAATATAGAAACCCTGGATAAAATCAGGCGACTTGCTGAACTTGTACATCTGGAATGGATTTATGTTATGTTTCTTCTTCTGCGGCCTTGCCCTGATTAAATCGCTCCTCACGTGAGGCCTGTAGCTGATGGTGAAAGGCTTGCTCTGCAGATAAGGCAGCTCACGTCATCATCCCAACAAACCTGCACGTTTATTTCCACTCTGACATCAGCAGATTTCTTTAATAAGCCTGTGCCAGGAATTTTAATGATGGGGGGGGGAGGAAAAAAGAACTTCAAAGATGAAGTGGAAAAAAAAATGGAATATAATTTAGGAGAGATGCACAGTGATGCTCTTTGATAACCTCTGATAATTGGCACTACGGCAGTGTGGGAGCTGCTTAAATAAACATCTGGACGCTGTGTTTAGACATTTCGGGTGACAGAATCCAGACAAATCTCCCCAACTTCCAACAATAAATATTTCAGCAAGCTCCAAAAGGATCTTCCTCGTACTGTTCTTAATTATCTCGGTTACATAAATATAGTGACTGTTACCAATTTAAGTATAAGATTTCTTTTGAAGTTTTTAGCATCCGGCCTGTGCCATTGCTCGCAGGATATGTGGCTGGGTTTGAAGCAGATACAGCCAAAGCTTTTAAGTTTTCATCTTTCATAAAATTCCCATTTTATCTGAAAGTTCTCCCTCAGACATCTCTTCGTTATGGATGCCTACTTTTTCAAAATCTGTGTAAAGGAATCTGAAAAACTCATCATTCTTGGCATAAGTTAGATTCTGTTCACTTTTCACTTAAGATGATGATAATAAAGGTGTGCATGTGTACTTCTCAATGCTGAGAACTGTTACCATATTGATTTTGGTAGTTTTAGACCTCTGTATAAAGGCTTTAGCCCACAATTTGGTGTAACATATTTACATGTAAGTGTAGCCACACAAGTTGTTACTTAATCAGCTTTTTGACATGATTTTCAAACTCCCCAAATCATGAACTATTCTTTTTGCTACTGTTTTTGATCAAAATGTTCACTCAGGGTTTTTGTCAGCATGTTTCTTTTTCATCGGTTACTTATTTTAATCAAGCTGTAAACTTGTAGCCATTAGTTTTCAGGGTGAATTAAACAGTGCAGCTGTAGTTTCACTGTAACTGATAATGCAAATGAAAGTTGTTCGTAAACTGACCTGCATGTGGTTTAGTATAACTGTGGGACTGAAAACAGCCTGGGGAGCAATGATAATAATTTTTGTTTAAAACCCTAGCTGGAGCATACATGACAGAAATTTGATATATAGCCTTTAGTAAAGCACAATTTGGATTCTCAGTAGCATGACTACATTATCTGTGCATTTAGACCAGGCGGTCTTGGGTTACACTGTGAGATCATTAGGCTTTTTTTCCAAGCACAGAGGATATGAAATAATTCTGCCCTCTAAATCATGAGCAGGCTTCTGAGGTTTGGGTTTCACTTCATCTCCCAAGTCCAATTAAAATTGTGGCTGTCGTTTTTAACTTGGTTATAATTGAATTACGTTCTTAAGGGATTTGCTTTTCTAATATTGTGATTAATGTTTCCTTTAAAAAAACATTTTAGTTAATTTGCTGCATATAGTGTTTTATTTTTTCTGGGATTCAAGCAAGATCCAGTTTCATAATAAATGTATATGTGAGACAGAAATATATAATACATCTTTAGAGATCAAACTCAACTGCAAATTGCTGGCTTCGTTGCTTAGATAACATTAACTGTATTATTTGCTGCAGGTTAGTTTTGTTCTGATTGTCATTATTCGAATTATTTTTAGTGGTCCCAGATGCTGCGGTTAATTAACAGCATAGTTCCCTAAAGCATTGTCATACAGAGGCTTCTCAATGGAACACGACAGCACGAAGAGCAAGAAAAAAACGTATCTCACAGTAACATACAGTATCACCTCTTAAACAACATATTCAATACAAAATGCGGAGTGCAGTATTTTCTCACACTGCAGGGTCTGTATTGCATGACCCAGTGTCCACTTCTGAGTCTGGCAGGCTTCAGTTTGTCACGGGGCGTTTCCGAAGGAAGAGATGACAGACTTGTGCCAACTTGGAAAAGCTGCGATCATTCACTAATAAATTCAAGAGTTTCACACACTTGATTGCAAGTAGTGTTTTTTCATCTGAAGTCAGCCTGCTCCGGCAGAACCCACAAGTGCCATCACCTTATTAATATCCTTGTGCTCTGATTGTCTTTGGTAAATCACATCCTCATTGTCTGATTCTGATTGCGTGTAATTTAATTACTCATCACGTTGCGTAATCCATACCGCTCGGTAAATCTGGCACATTCATGCTTGATGACACTTGAGAAAAAAGGGTCTGGCTAAAATATACCTTATGGATTCCTCTGGGTTTCTCTGTCGCGTCCTCCTCAAAACAAAGTTTTTTGTATTATGGAGGCATAGATGAAGAAAAGCTATTAGTGCCTTTAATTTGTCTTTGGTCTGCTCAGACATGCAGGCTGTGGAGGTGGAAATGTCTGATTACTGTCACATTTTACAGAGTAATCTCAGAGAACCTGGCAACTGTATCTGTTTAATAGCTCTTCATGTCTAGGTATATGAGTGACAGTCAAAGCAATATATAATATTACTGTTTTCATGCTCTGTGGTTATGTTAAAACAGATCCCTGAATCTTGTTTGGCATCTTTGAAACCAAGAATAAAATGGATGTTGTTGATAGGAAGACCCAAATAACATAAATGTCACAAGGGTATTATTATGTCTGCTGTGGTAGGTAAATTTAACCTCCTGTAGAGCTTTCACTCCGTACTATGATCTGTATAATTTTACTAGAGTGTCTGGTTTCATCTTTACATTGTTTGGGATTAGGATTTCTTGCATAATAAGACACATTGGCATGATAAAACATCCTCTCACAGTCATCAGTCTTTCAATACAGTGTCCCTATTGAATTACCTAAAGGAAGTGATCTCAAACATGTATACAGTAGATAAGAATTTATAGCACCTCTAATGTAATAAATGTTTGATCTGCTTGTATGAGCCTGTCATTCAGCATTCTGTGTGACATGAACCAGCATGTTGCAGTTGAGGAAAATAGTTTATATTGATTAGAATAAAAAAGCAGAGCTTGCATGTCTGCATTAATATGGCAATGTTGATTTTATTTTTGCCATTTAAAAATAAAAGTCAAATGGCTCAGATGAATTAGCCCCAGTCCTTTCTCTATGCTGAAATAAAATTCTTACACATAAATAATGTCGACAGTGTAGTCTTTTATATTAGTATAGCTGCCAGACAAGGGAACTGGTCTCCCTTGTAATAAGCTATAGTTCATTCCACTAAATATTTACTCTTCATGATGTAGCAGTTAAAAAAATGCCAGGCACAAAAAGGTTGAGATTCAGTGCAAGGGGTAAAATGCCAAGGAAGCTTGTTATGGCATTGCCACACATGTTAACAGTGATTTTGGAGACCTATTCTGTACTGTGGGTTTTAGACTGATAAGGCAGAGCACCCTGACAGACCTGGTTTATCTCCGTGAAACAATCAAGGAGGCAAGGGTGACAAGCTCAGCACAGGTACTTAAAACACACAGAGAATAATAATGAAGATTAGCATTTTGCTTATGTGATTTCTAATGTCTTCAGTATGGAGGTCACATACTTGATGGCCACATGAAAATGAAGTCATTAAACAGCTGTTCCTTTATCAGCACCATGTGCTCTCTTAATAGTCGGGATTCCTGCCTGGCATGTTATTTTTTTTTGTCAGAACCTCCGGTGTCAGTTGTGGACTATGTTACAGCCAAAAACACTTAGATTCACAGAGCAATGGATGAGCTGTAACATGTGCATTTCAAAAAGCTGTGCTCTATGCTCCCAGCAGGCTCTGTATACATAGTGCTGACGTTTATATACAAGAGAGAGAACCTTGTGGTAGGGTTTTGCCTTTATTTTCACAATTGTCGCTTCAATTCAAGTGAACACTTTGAGGTGTCTTCATCCAGAATCAGCCCATTTGCACTTTTGTGTGTCTGACTTTCTAAATAAATGCTTTTCCCATGTTCTGAAACTGGAATTCAAGCACCTTTCCAAGTCAGTTTTCACACAGACTTGTGCTCCTTATTCTTTTCATTGCCAGAATGAAATTATCCAGTTTCTTTGACTGAGGCTCAGTCCTCATATGCCACAGTATTAGTCTGACTTCTCTCATCTGGGTGCTGCCAGCCAGGGGGCACCTGTCATAACTGGCCATCCTTACTGGGCAAAATGACCTCTTCTTGTCTGTCATGGACCCCATTTACTACTGAGATTTTTCCTTTGAGAATAACCTTGGATTGCGCCACAGGTGCTGTCTCAAGCTGTCTCATGCACTGTTGTTGTATCTCTTGCACCAGATGGTTGATCCACCATCCTGCAACCTTACAGTTTCAACCATAACCCTGATGTGGGAAGCCTATGAGTACAGTGCCTTGTTTAAGGCAGGCCCAGAGACTGCTGTAGCTAAAGAGTCCTTGCCTCGCTACTACCCTGACAGCTGAGACTGGAGGCAGTTTGATATCATACTCAGGACATGTATTATATACAGCCTGTACATTCCAGAGTGTAACGTAGCTGAATGGTTAAGCTGAAGAAGGTTCCAAGTGACAAAGTTGGTGATCAAATTTAGAATTGTTCCCTCTCTTTATCCATTTGCTGCTGCAAGAATCTGGATGTCATCTTTGATCCAAAACTTGCATTTGAAATGTAGGTTAACAGTGATAGAAAGGTGTCCTTGCATCTTCATAGCATTACTTAAATCCATTCATCTCTATCCCAAGCTAACACAGAAAGCCTAATGCAACATGTATTTTTCCAGGCTTAATTATCAGTATGCTTTTTTTTTTTATTTCCAGTGCATTCAAGCATTTTCTTCTGTACAGAACTCCAGATCTTAGCTAGAACTAAAATACATCAGCATATATTACCCATTTAAACTTCCCTGGGCTGCCTCTCTGTGCATTTCAGAATACAATTCCCCCTACTGCTGCTCACCTTCAAGGGCTCAAACAGTTTGGCTCCTGACTGCATTGAACTAAGTGTACACCTGCACATCATTTGTCCTCTTTAGATTCTGGCCTTCTCTCAGTTCCCAGAGCTAGTCTCTGAACACTGGGAGAACATGCTGGCTGTTGTGATACTACAAGGCTTTGGAATGATGTCACCAGTCCATATTAAATCTACAAGTCAGTTGGCGCTTTCGCATTCTGATTTAAAACTGTCTCACGTGCACTAGCACTAGCAGCTGTGCTTTTCAGTGGTTGGTAAACATAGGGAAGATGACTTGCATGTCATTTTGTGTTTCTGTACAGTAGCTATAACTGACCTCATGCTGGGGAACACATGAGATAACTTAATTAATGCAGCCTGTTTGACTGTGGGACTGCAGTACTGGGTGAAGCAAATTCATTTCCACTTATTACGGCCTTGTAGTCTACAAGAAGCACATGCAGTTACAACCGTTTTACACTAGATGGCAATAATGCAATGCAGAGTACTCAACTAGACATCTTCGTAGACAGTAATGACACATTGGCTACAGCCATCCAAAAAAAAAAGACAAAAGCAGAGCAAGATAATATTAGTATAACTACTATTAATGCTTATTCGCACTTATTTATACTTATATCCGCATAGTGCTTTCATCCCAACGAGCTGAATATATTGACCCTTGGGCTCAGTGCTGTGAGGTTTTATTCCATACTGATCATTTTTAAATAGCAGTTTGAGATGAATGCCACTCTACATTCTGAGGGTGTTTGTCAGTAGGACTGCGCTCTCATTTTCTTCTTTTTACTGTCATTTTACACAGATGATTTTGGTGCCAGCAGACGTTGGTGCTCTCTTTCAAAATGTAGAAAAGAGTTCTAAGTTCGTTCTAGGTGAGAATCAGATTGTTAATCTTATTGCATTTTTAACCAGGGCGTTGTCATTTTTACCTGGTTTTATTCCCCCACATAGAAAACAGAACTGTTTATGCTATCACAATGGAATTTTCCACCTTACAACATTTCCAAAGTGTTGCATTCTTTCTGCAGAATTCACAAAACACATGAGCAGTGTGTGGATAATTTCCTAGTCCATAATGTATTTGCAATAAGTAACAAAAATCATTTGAAGCATTTCCCATTATGTAATGTGGTCACACTTAAGTAAAATTGCAAGAAGTTCTTTAATAGGAGTTCCACTCTTTCAGGTGCAGTAGGAACATGCTTTAGTTTAGACTCCCCTTTCACATTCACCTGCTTTGTCTGTTATCATTTTTTTTAAGTTTCCAACCTGCTTGGGTTCCTCTCTGTCCGGTTCTGTGGCTGTACCTGGTCTGCTATGGGGAGTTAAAAAGTAGAGATGTGAAGCTGGAAAGACAGGGCCAGCAGAAACGAGAACGCGCTTCACACTGCCGTTCTGCCAGCCTTTCATCCCCAGCGTGAAGGACTTTGCACAACAATCGCGGGCCGCCTGTTGTAAACCGGCGGAGCTCTTCAGCCTGAGAGAGCTAGCGAGGTGCCAGGGTCTAGGCAGCTCCAACCATCAGCTGGCACAACATGAAGCAGGGCACTTCTGGGACCTGTCAAAACCTCATCACTTAAAGGAAGCCGGCATTGCGGGGCAGCTGAAGCATTGCCAAGGCACGGCAAGGGAGAGAAACCAAAGACTCCAGCCCCACAGTCTCCGTGTTATAAGAAGGAGGAAACGTTCCCCTCTGGTACTCGGATTGTTGGAACAAAAGTCCATTTTTTTTCCCTCCCTTTTTTGTTTTTGAGCTGTTGATGGGTGTGTGCTTATTGTTACTTCACAATAAAACCTGGTATCCTTCTGGCAGTGTCCTCTCGTGCTGCTGATGTAGTAAGATACTGTATATCTTTCTGTTGTATGCCATGTAACGCTGAGGTTTGGTTAAGTTGTGTTATTCAGAAAACGTTATGTTTTTCTAACGAGGAGTTTGGCTTCGAGACGTGCACAATGTTATCCAGAGTACACTGCATAATCCTGGAGAAAATAAATCTTTTTTTTCTTTTTTGCATAGTGCTGGCACTGAATTCATTCATAAACTGTGGCAGTGGTAGAGTCTGTTTACAGTATATACCTGTGATATCTTCTGGGAAAAAAGCATCAGTGTCAGCATCGGCAAAACTCTGAAAGGACTTCCCACTGGCGATTGATGACAGTTATAGAATTGTCCAATCCTTCATTTTGGGGATTGTAAATATACCTGTATATGGTTTGCTACACTGTCAAGTGAGACAGATTTCTCAAGTTGCGTGGCTAAACTCACACAAGTAAAGATAAAAAGTTAGTGTTGTTGCTTGAGGAATTTTTAGATGCATCTTCCATGAGGCAATGTTCTGAGACAGTTTCTCATATTAATGTGGAAAGACATCAATCTTAGAAATCAGCAGGCTGTTTTCTCAAAGAGAAATATATATTTTAAAAAAAACCAAAACAAATGGAATCGAGTACCTTGTAACTTTTGCTGCTGTTTGTGTCATGTTTCCTTACACGATAGCTCAATGCATATATTGGTGTTAAAAATTAAAATCCTGTTTTTCATTATTTGCATTCTCTTCAAATGAAATCATGCCCTTTTGTTTTCTGAACGCACGAATTGACAAGTACCAGGAGTGTCAATTAGCAGCTAGCCGGGGCCTAGCGCCAGACATTACAAATTGAAAGTACTAAATTCGTTTAACGGGTCATGAAATATAATAGGCAAAATGTCAAATATTATTATTGCCTGCATTTTCTACGACTTTGCAGGTGTGAACGCGGAAAATAGCTTTCCACAAATCCTGAAAAACAATGGTCCGTCGCAGCTCAGATTGCTGCAGATATTTTGGCTTCTATTTGTTTCTTAAGTCAAATATAAAATTTGATATAAAAATTTTAACATTACTGCCTTATACTTTCAGTCTGGTCTCCTGGCACCTCACAGAAGCAGCTTGCTTAACATCATTTCTTCCCTAGCTGCACGCAGCTCTTCTTGACAGCTCCAAATAGGCTTTTCTCAGTGCTACGCTATGAGCAATATTAGGAAAGCAGTCATCTGTACTCTGACAATTACCCCTGGCTGCAACAGAATAGTGTCGCAATTATTTATATGCTGTAATGCAGTCTCCAGTCATGCACTGGGCACACTTCCTGGAATACAAAATTCAACATCACATTGTTGGAGTACTGCTGTTCTTCTTCCAGTTTCGCTAAGTGCTAGTGTTGAAGGTGACTGACAAAGGCACGTCTCTACTCCAGGCAGACAGAATGGAGGAGGGAGTGTAGTGACGGAGGAGACAGTGATGGGAGTGTGTCTTTATTTATTTGTTTGTTCCACAGTTTTCTGCCAAGATGGCTGTCAGGAAAACAGTAAAGTGTTTGTTTGTTTTTAACATCCGTGAAGAAAACATGTTTTTTCAATTAGGCTGAGAAATTTGGTCCAATATACAACGATCATAAACGCAATCTGAAGAGTGGCAGTATTAATAATAACTGAAGATCTGTGGTAAAAAAAATGGTCAAACTGCCTTTCTCCATCATCCCCCATC